TCCCCAAAAAGCTATAAAAAAGATAGTTCTAAGAGACTATAATCCCAATCGAAGGATAAAAAAATGAGTTCTTTGACTGGAATAAAACTTCTATTATCTCCACTATAACTGAGAGGTAAGAGGTACTCCATAGTTTGGTCCTTTTCCCTTTAGAAACTTTCTTGCCATTGATAATAAAGGTAAGAACTGAACTTTATAGACCACAAGAGTTCAGTTTATTCAAAGGAGATTGTAAACAAGAGAGAGGGAAAGTGAAAAAGTTCTGAGAAAACTTTTTGAGTTGGTTTAAAGAAAGTAATAAGATTTTATTAGCAAGTATAAAAACTTCTTGTAAACATCTTTTTTGTGTATAGTTAGAGAATTAGTAGAAAGAGTTTGGCAGTCAAAATGACCTAATATTTATTTAAATAATATTGTAGATCTAATTGAATTGCTTGTTCAATACCATAAATAGTGATAAAAAATAAAAGTAAGAAGAATATTTCAATTAGATTTTGAGAAAAGATTGTTTAATTGATAGACTTTTTTAAAAAAACTTGAATTATATTCCTTTTTCTTTTCTTTTATTAACTTAAAAATTTATAGTTTTGGAGTAATCTATAATAATAAACTGTTGATAATGAGCCTAGTGATTAAAGATTTATATCAATTCTCTAGAAAACTGAAATATTGTTCTTTAGACTTGATTTATACAATAATGAGTTAGTTATTATATGAAAAATCTAGATAAACTTCTCAATAAAGATTAAGTCATATGGCATGATTGTAAGTTAAAGTTTAACAGATTATTTAAATTAATATAATTAAACTTAAATTTCATTCAACTTTTACCAAAAAAGTTTAAAGCATATGCAATTATTGAAAGCCAATGCATCTCTTTCCCTAAAATAATAATCAGTAGATTTTTGATATATTCTTTTACCTTTAGCTAATTGTAGAAATTTCCATTACGCCAAGTTGGAAGATCTCTTTAATCTAATTCCGGTTTATTCCTTGTTTATAAAAATTTATCCTTTATAAGAGAAATCGATGTTTCAATGTTATTTAGATAATCTTTTTCCTCATTATAACCTTTTTTCTCACGGGCATGCAACATTGGGGGTTTTTTTTTTGCGGGAATGATTTAATAAATAGAGACCTGTTATCTCTTCACTACTTGTTCCCTTGATCCCTTTCGATAATATAAAACAAAATGGGAAGCACACCATCTTCATACCCTATAAAAGGGATTGGATTCTTTTTCTCACACTGGACTTTAGTTCAAAGAACTCTCTTTGCTTTACTCTTAACACTCATAGTATCCATTGTCGTGATTGGTTTGACCTTTGGAATTTTTTGGGCCCTTCAAACTGCCCTCCTTGTAGCTATACTCATCCCACCTCCGATAGCAGTTATCTTAGCATTTATTGCGTGTATAATTGAATCAGCAACTTTCGTTTTTATCTTCTACCTTATTTCCACGCCCTATTGGCAAGATGGTTTGTTTGATGATGTCTTAAGGTTGAGAGGTCTGGGGCCAGTGCTGGATAGGCAAAAAAATGTTAGTGAGACTACCTTGTGCCTTCGTGGATTTAAGACAGGTTTTGAAGTAACCGTGATTCAAGTGAGCATTCCATTATAATCATTTATTTATATAAACATGTTTACCTTAATATTTACGAAAATTTTTCCAATATTAGGTATTTGCGCTTATTATTACATTTCCTATCCATGCCATTCCCGTTCTGGGAACGGTAGCATACTGCTTCATCAATGGATGGCCATTGACGTGGGCTCACCAAATCCATTATCACATAGAAATCGAAGAATTTACAGTAAAACAATCAAGAGTATTTGCATGGACCCATCGAAAAGAATATTTTTTGTTTGGAGCAGTTGGTGTATTTCTTGGATTGATTCCAGTCTTAAACTTATTATTCTTTTGGACAAATATTGTTGGTGCTGCTTTATGGACTTCTGATGTGAGTATTTGTAAATTCTTATTAATTAGGTATATTTAATTAATTACTATCCATGACATCATTTTTCCGAAATAGGTTCTTATCGAAGATCAAAAACTTAGAAGTGATAACACAGAAAGGATCATTACTTCCGATCCAGTAGGAACATCCTATCAGTCTGCAACAAATATGGAAGATTCTTCTATTGCTGCCACTCCAGTTAAGACTTATGGCGCTACTGATAATGCTTGATCGAAATGGCATAATTTTTGAACTATTGATTATAAGTTCTTAATTTGGTTTGATATTTTTATGTCTGGAAGCGGAAATGAAAATTACGATCAATAGTTCTAAAGCTTTAACCGTTATATTTCTAATTGTAATACATATGTAAATATGAAATTACGTAATAAACGTTTTGTTTCACTTTTATAAAAGTATCAAAAAATGGGTTTTGATATTTAATTAAATTCAAGTTTACGCAATATATAAAAATCTTTATATAGCTTAAATAATAAAAATTTGAGTTATAAAATTATATATATATTCTTAATTTGCAACTAATAATCTTGAAATATATAATTTTTATAAATAATCTTATATTTATTTATATAATCTAGTATAATTTGAAAATAATTTTCATTTTTTGTTTATTGATTTAAATTTAATTTCAATTAATTTTTTAATTCTAGTTAAATTAAAATGGTTTAGTTTTATTATAACTATTTATATTACAAATATTTTTGTCTTTTACAAATTAATTTATTTATATAGTATAAAAATTAATATATTTTTTAGATATTATTTAGAAAATAATATTTTATTTTATTTTTATTTATAATAGTAGTTAGTAGTAATATTAGTAGTTAAAAGGATTTTTATCTATTAATAGAACAATATATAATATTGCTTTTAAAGTTATACTTAAAATTAATAAAATCAAAAAAGTAAGTTAGTTAAATAATTAGCTTTAATAACACTAGTTAAAAATATTTATTTAGCATAATATTACTTATATAATATTTATAAAAAATAAATAATTCAATAAATTAATAGCATAAATAGATTATTGATTTATTTTTATTATATACTGTATATACTAGTAGAAAAATATTTATTCAGTATAATATCACTCATATAACATTCATTAAAAAAATAAATAATTTGATATATTAATAATATAAATAAATCATCAATTAATTTCTAATATATAATAAAAAACTCTTTCCGCTAATTCTCTGCTCACACACAAAAAAGATGTTCACAAGAAATTTTTTATTTCTTTGCTAATAAAGTCTTAATACTATCCTTAAACCAACTTAAAGTTTTACTTTAAGAGATACTCCCAAATCCTTTCTCTTGTTTATATTCATTTTCAAACAAAAACTTGGCTTTTTGTAACCTAGAAAAGTCAAGAAACATCTTCTCTACCTATAGCAAGAAAGTTCTAAAAAAAAAAAAAACTAATAGTATAGTACTTAAAGCCTTTTATATTGAAGCATGCCTATAGAGGTTTTCTGCAGTGGAAGGTAGCGAACATCAAGTCATATTTCACCCACTGTTTCTTCCCTCTTATAGTCATTCAAAAATTTTTTTGGTTTTTTAGAGAATTTTGCCTACCTCAGTTTGACCCTGAATTTTAGGTAACATAATCTATTGCAAAATATGATTGGTGGACATGAAACACGTTAGTAGTTGAATATAAACAAGTACCTACCAGTCACCTCACGTGTTCCAATGATGTCATTGGTGATAGAAAGAGTTGATTGGTGTCCCGTATCCACCCCACTTTTTCAATTGAGTTAACTTACAGATTAAGTACCATGAGATCAATAAGATACGAGCAATAGGTCCCCAGGTGATAAAAAAGCCAATATTTGTTCAAGCTGAGGTCTTTCTTTCCTATCATCCTGGTTAGGCAAAGTTCAAGACCAAGGTCTTCCTCTTATTCTGATCAGGCAATAAGACCGAATGGTCTCTAGTCCATACTAAGCTTCAACCCTTTGGTTATAGTTGAGAATGCATTTTCCCAGAAGTTGTTAAAGGATATTGCAATCAACGAGGATTCCTACCACTCTTGAGAACCTCCCACCATTACAAGGCAAAAAGATTGTTGGGGAATCTGGCTTTTTGAGTAATGGAAGATGTATACCAGTAAAATTTCTTTAATTAGGTGTGGCTGCTGGAAGATATTATACTGAAACAATATGGCCTAGTCCTTACTAGGTCACATAAGAACCTGAGGTCCATCATAAGTCATCTCTCTACTGCAGGTGAATAAAAAATCACTGCCCAAAGAAGGTTGGGACCAAGTGTGTCCTGGAAGTAAAGGCTCCTACTAGGCGATAAGCCTCCTCAGACAGTATATAAGAAGGAAATCAAAATCAAGAATGGATAAG